CGGTCCAGTGCCAAAGCTAATTACAATTTCAATTTTCTCAATAATCTCATGTTCAAGTTATTGTATCCAGTTGGCTACGATAAGGCTTTATTGGCAACCGGTCGCCTTATTTCCTTACTGAACAAAAGAAGTCATTTGCCATGTCCGATTTTGTTCAGGAAATATGAGTCAGTCACCGGTCAGAGAGACTGTACCAATTAACTCCTCGGAAGTGAAGAGCACCAGTGATAATGGTCAAAGATGATAAAGTTGCTTCTGACGACATAGTTCCTTCACACGTCGTCTATCCTGATTATCCCAGACCTGTTGGCGGCCTTGTAAAGGTGGTTTTGTTCCGTGTTGGAGACGTGTGCTTTTGCTGTAATTCTTGTTTAATAGAAATCAATTTCCTCTACAATACAAATCAATAAATAAAGTCTTTCCAGTTTAGTGTCCTTAAAAAGGGATCAAACGTTGCTGATATTCTGATACAACAAACAAATAACCGTTTCCATCTAAATTCATTATAAATATTCTACAATCGTATGTTTTACTTTTCAGTCAAATACACATACTAGTATAGAAACTAATTTCTGCTGGATATGTTTAAAATAATTCCCATTCACCTGGATTCTGTACCCTTCAAATGTTTAACAAGATTTATTGTAAAGTGCACAAGTTTCACAAAAGGTTTTCATCTTATGTGCCAAGTAAAGATGTTTATATGTCTACTTGGGTAGGCGACTGGATAGAAGTTGACTAGCACTGTAGTCTTGGTCATAGAGCAGTTACAGAGATATTAATTCCTGGCTTTGGCGGCCATTTAGTGCCGTGGCTATACTTTGGGTGTCACAAGAGAGGCGCAATACTCGCGTTTCTGTGTCTAAGGAGCCCCTGGTCCACAACAAACGCAGGTGGCATATCTGGTTATTATCACATCGAACAGTTTAAACCATGCCAAGACAATTTTAGCTTTCTCTAGGGATAAAAAGGCAGACGTATTTTGTCGCACATTAAGGCAAAATTTAAGACAGACAAGATAAGTGCAGTCTCAGACACATGCCAATGTAGTGCCAAATAAAAGTCTCAAAAGATGCAGGTTAAGGTACCCGTACGTTGTTAAAGGGATAATAACTCTTCGTTTTGGTCAAAAAATAAATTTTCCTGGAGTAAACAACAATTTTCCCATACTTACCAATGGTTAATGAATCCATTTTTACATTCAAAGTTAGTCCCTGGTTTTTTTCTAAAAAGTTTTTTTTTTTTGTTATAATCTCTTAAGAGATTATAACAGAGTATAGACATCAATGGAGGTCATGTGGTCTAAAGACAAGCTCAGATATCAGAATAATAGCCATAACTGCAGTTTTTGTGGTAAAACAGAATATATTTCTGTGAGTTGTTCGCAATGTTTTGATTGTGAAATATAGATCTTATACGAAGAGTTATTATTCCTTTAATGTTGTGCCCGTTAACCATTGCTCTCAAATGTATAAGACCTGCGTCTTTATCCTCAGTCTATGTTGACGTCTAATATAATCCATTACCCATAAATGTCCATTAATGAAGTGGTCTAATATAAATCATATTAAGGAACGTTTTATTTAGATTGCCTTTTCTCAAGTATGATGATAGATTCATGTAGGCATGACCTGTAACTATGTCCAAGACAGGCTCTAAGGGGTTTGACGATAGATATGGAAAGCAATCAAGCTGCCAGGACGAATACTAGGAAAACGCATCGCTGTGTCGGGTTATCTGCGCGCTGTCAGTCAAGAAGGCAGCGGCCTTAATTACCCTAGAGCGCGCCACTGGAAAGGTCACTTTGGTTTCTGCGTTTCTTGGGGGGGGGGGGGTCGTATCGAGCACGGTTGTTACTTCGTGAACTCTTCTGATGCCATCTAGCCCCCATTGAATATATGATGTCACAGCGTACCTGTCAGGAATAGTAATATTGGTTGTAAAAAAGACTTTACCCTTTTGAAATTGATCGATTTTATAACTTACAGGGGGTGGGGCTATACTTTCCAATGAGACTAATTGCAAGCGATGCCAATCTAACAGAATTGTCTGTGTCATGAGCACAAAGCATCTCCGATATCCCTCCCTAATACGCAATGTGCCCAGACACCAGAGACCACCAAAACTCATTTAAACACTTATTTATAAAGTGCTTTGGTCTGAAATCAAGTTTTTTTCTACAAACCCTCAGAGTCTATTACTTTGTCTAACATCTCGTATTTGTGTTAAATGAATAAGTCAGTCATTTACTCTCAGCAGAATAGAAATCTGCTGCAAATGTAAATATTTCGTAAAATTGATTTTTTTCTCTGTGTAAACTACGTTATGTCTCCTTCAGGTTAATCTTCCTTGTGAATTCTCAATTCCCATACAAATAAAGGCTAAGTAGGTTACGAAATCGATCACCTTCCTGTCTGCTCTGGAAAACGTCTTACTTTTTTACCTTTAAGCCATTTTCCATTTTAGATATCAATTAGTTTTTAATGTCACTTTATAAACAATGAAATAAATACACATTACCATGTGATGACCCAAACAGTATGAAAGATATCAAGAAGATCAATGAGGAAGTCTAATGTCACCTTTAATTGGCACAGAAATTTGAAGACAACATTTAAATATTCAAATAATTGTAAACAATGTGAAGCAGAACTTTTTTTGCGGGGACGGGGGGATTTTAAAAAATTGATGGGATGGCTGTATTGGTCACCTATAAAATCTTGAGTCTTAAATATTTCAAAAATGGTGATATAAAATTTATAATATAAGCAGTATAATTTACAACAGGCAATTGTGATTAGTAACAAAATGTCATGAAATTATGAATTAGTAATATTTCATGATATTTTGTCACTAACTTAATTGTACCCGGTAACGGTGGTATTGTTATGACGAGTTAAGGGATAAACCCCCTTCAATGGGGGTATGTATTCTGATCTCGTTAAGTAGAGCAAAACCTGTCCTGCATTGACTCCAAGCCATCAGGAACATTGATTGCAAATGAATTCGACATCTACGTGTACACTAATCTCTACGCTGGCGCTTTTAGCTAAATTAAAGGTCTGGGGGGCTAATTATCAGTATAATTAGAGAGAAAGCACGAGGGGGACGCGAGGGGGGACCTTGGTTATATCAAACATTTTGCTAAAAATTAAATGAATGACACGAAAAAAGAAAATGGACATATGAAGAGTGAGGAATTTTTTGTCATACACCAACTTTGCAGAAAGAGAAAAAAACGACAATTCTCTAGTAAAGTATCCTGTCAGACAAGAAAAAAATTGTTCTGCTAGACCTTACTCTGTGACCCCCATTTTTAATACGCCACATGAAATTTAAAATGACATCACCAAACACGCCCCCCCCCATGCATCTGGGCCGAAAATCCCCATCCAACATGTACACTGCCTACTAGGTTAAGTAAAAAAAAAAAAAAACCAAAGTCTACGGAAACCACCTCTCCCTCTTCCACCGCCGATTTCACTGCTAAAATCACCAGGTGTCAGAGGCAGACAGGGACACTGGTTTCTGCGTGTATTTATATGCCATTATCTGAATTGAATGCGAGTTGAACGCTTCCCACGGGTAATTAATACTCGACGGCGACCTTAAGGTAATCACCTGTGAGGTCTCTATACTACTGGGAGACGGCCCTGATTAATGTCTGCAGGATTAGTTTATCTCGATTCAGAATAGCGTCTGTCAGCACTGCGGAAATTAAGCGAAGTAAGGGCGTAGTGCTGGGATTACATGTTAAGGCTTTTGACTTGTAAAAGTGCTTTTTGAAGGTGAAATGGGCTTGGGTATCTTAGTAGACGAACGTGCAAAGTGATTGGTAGTATTTAAAGATTTGTGGAGAGAATTTAAAAAAACTTACATGTGAAGGAAGTCCGTTTTGCAAGCGCATTGCCAAAACGTGTCCATTTGGGAGACTAACGTCCTTATCGTTATACACGCGACTGCAGACACTAACCCTTGTTGACATAATGGTTGCAATATGTTAACATACATATGCTGTCGTGAAGAAAACAGTGTCAGTAGCATGACAGTAGGCGATTAACCCGATTAAACATCCAGCCTCAGTGCCAACTGGCTATAACGACATGTCGTGATATGTTCTTATATAATAATGGAGTAAAAAGGCATGTTTTTGAGGCATCGTTGGAAGGAACATTGCTGTATTTTTGCAGGAACCTGTATTTGTAATAACTGCCACTGTACTCGCATGCACGTCAACAATCTGCGAAGATATAATTAGAGGAAAGATAATTACCTCTTTTAAAGCCATTACCAAGCCAAACTACTATCCATGACCATAGCTCATGTGTAATTTTTTTTTTCGCTGAAGGAGCTTTCCAAATAGCCAACATAATGGCTATTATGGTTGTAAATAAACGAATAGTCTACGCTAGAGTACACAAAATAATCTTTGAAACTCTTAATCAAATTTTCTTTTCTAAAATGCTTAATTCATTTGTTTTGATTTTGCAAGTTAACTCTTCCTTATCGCGTTCATTTCATTTTATACTGCAACTTACTGTACTATTACTATTACTATTTACTGTAACATATTTTTGAAACAGCATTGCTTTATTTAATGTAAATATAAACGAGAGAAGCCTTCAAAAGGCATCCCTCTGCAATTTTTTCAGGATTTGCTAACTGCTGTGGCAAATTTGTAAGAAGGAATTTATCCATGCGAATGAGGTACTGTTTTTAATTGGACGGAGTATGAGGACTGCCGCAAACTTCGTATGCTTTTGCAAATTTACAGCACCATTTTTTCCTCCAACAACCCGTAAAGAGTTTCTAGCAAACTGTTTAGTTTGGAGCAAATTTGTTGCAAATATGCTGCAATTTTTTCGTTTTGCTAATGGATATTGACAAAAAAAAATAATAAATAAATAAATAAATAAATAAATAAATAAATAAAATAAAATAAAATCCTCAAATTTGCCCTAAAAGCTTAGCACTTATTTCTCCCTCTTGTTTATCTCCAGGCAAGCTGATTCCGTTCCTGGAGAACCTATCCGTGCACGCCTCCAGCCTCTCCATCGTCACCATCAGCATCGAACGCTACTTCGCCATCTGTCACCCTCTCCAGGTCAAAGCCCGCTTCACGCCACGCCGCAGTGTTATCATGATTGTGATCATCTGGCTGGCGGCCATTTTGGCTACGATCCCCTTCTTTGTGATAGCCAAGGAGAAGGACGAGAGGTACCCGGACGGAAAGCCCGTGAAGGTCTGTTCCACGGCGATAATTGAAAAGTGGAAAAAAGGTTACGTTGTGACCTTGACCTGCTTGTTTTTTGCACTTCCGGTGGTCATTCTGCTGGTCATTTACGTGTTGATTTGCCGGGTGTTGGTTGCCGAGAGAACAATCTTCCATTCCACCGGCAATGGTAGAAACTCTAATTCTACAGCCAGTACTGTTCGCAACCGGCACCAGGTCGTCTATGTCCTGTTGGCAATCACAGTCGCGTTCTTTGCATGTCTTCTGCCTTTCCGGGTCTACTCACTCTGGTTGCTGTTCGAAAGTCATGACGTCATCCGGACAATCTCATCAGAAAGTTCGCTGAACATTGTCAGTTTTTGTCGGGTCATGTTCTACCTGAACAGCGCAATCAACCCGGTCCTATACAACCTCTTCTCCACAAAATTCCGCAAGGCTTTCGAGAGGACAATCTGTAGAGGTCAAACAAAAATAAGAAAAGGGCCGAGCGCAAATACATCCGTCTATCAAATGGACGAACAGTCCTCCGGCAAGCGTCGGAGTAACCGAAACTCCTGTCCCTTCAGCAAGTGTCAGGGGGGTGGTCAGCAGGTCGCAGACGCCTTCATCCCAGCTGACCATGAGGGTGGGAGTGGAGAGCAGAGCCCTCATGTTGATATCGACCACATAGGACCTGAACAACCCATGGTATCTTTGGACGAAGTCAATGGTGTCAGGTACCCCTACCCAGAGTATGTGTAGATCCGGTTTGTATGGAGACTGTTGTATAATATCATATCATACGGACAAAGCGGCCCAGGGAGTTTATTGCACGAGGACGGCGCACTTGAAACTAAGAGAACTTGAAACTCGGAACTAGTAGTTGGAAAAGTGGTAAGGGTTATCTGCATTTAAACCAACTACGATTTGGCACTGTGGAACTATTGTATCGAGCAAGAAAGGACAGGGTAACCCACGGCGCCTGAAGACCTGAGACATACTAGAGGACACACTTGATCACTTGATGAGTGACATTTAACAATTTCATTGGGCGCAGATATATAAAAAATAGATGCAAAAGAAAACGGTATGCCCGGTTGTTGCATTTCAATAAAAGGGCATACAGTTTGATGTAAGTGCACATAAACCACCTTTGTACAAAATTGAGAATGTTCTTTTCGCAGATTCGCAAGGTGTCAAATTGGATGAAAAATATCAATTACATTTATCTGTTATACGATTATACCGGTGCTTCATACTAAATATGATAATGGTATTCTTCGTTGGTTCTAGCACATTTTACAAACACTATCACTGCACAGTTACATTATATGAAGTAGACATTTTTTCACAGAAAAGAACGTGATGAAATGTAGTTTGATTGTCATTATAAGTGTCACAAATACCTGTAGTTTGGCAAAGAATCATACCAAACCGAAATTGTAATGTGTCCGATACAGTTCATTCTGTCGGTAATTATTATTTGTTACAGGTATTTTATTACTAACTGTAGCAATTTTAACTTGTAAATTTTAGATACTCGACAACTTGTAACACCTAAGACACTGAGCCGTGCCGCTGGTTTGCAGAGCAGATTTGGGACGTTTTAGAAATATTTTCTTTATCATAAAACTTACCTGGCTTTGTGTTTCATGTATACAATTGTATCAGATTTTTTACGTAGATACGTCCATACAAATGCAGTCTATTAAGCTTGTCAATAAAAATGCAACGCACCTATACATACATACATGTATGTGAACGCACACCTCGGCTTTTGTACATTGATGCATTTATATTTCGGTGCTTCTGTGAATGAATATTTGCAATTTACAATAAATTCACATAAATGAATTTCATTGTGTTGTTGTTTTGTCTGTCAGTTAGATTATGATATACTGTGAGGAAACGATGGACAGCCTTTTATACGCATAGCCTGTCTTTTTACATTTTCAATCTTAACCTATGTGAACTCCTCAGAATATATATCACCCCACGGGTGAAAGGCATTAAAGAGTACATACATAAAATCGCACATAAAATTCCCATAGTAAAATCAAATAATAAAATCGTTGTAATGTAAGTAAAAAAAATCATTGCAAAATGTGTTCGGGTTAAAATATAAGACAGAGAAGTATTAGAAATTAATCAAAATCTAAAAAGCTTTGCATTTGGTTAACAGTTGAACCATGTTATATTCAAATGCACCTGAATATATACATGTATATATTATTTAGATACGTTTTGAAATGAAACTAAAAAGGTCAATGTTCGCTATATCCCCAGACGTACCCAGACGTACAGAAATACCCCTTTTGGCATATGACATGTATCAAAATGTGCGGAAAAGTCAAAACGGAAGAGCAAAAAACCTTTCGAGACTAAATTAGCTTCAGGGCATGCTGCACACTAAAAGGGGGCTTTGGTACACTTGAACTTGTAGACTGGACGCAATAAAGTGCGGTTATTTTAGTACCTGTGATTGCCTCACTCTTCTCTTTCCTTTTGAAGATTTTCAACTAAAGAAAAATCTTAATCTGTGATCACACTCGGAAAAAACGCAACATAATTGATAGCTTTGGAGGCTGCTTAATTAAGCGTCGAACTCATAACGCAACACTAAGTCATTTTGAAAGATGGGGAAATCAATTGCATAATTCATTAAAAAGCTCAACAACCCTTAAAACACCACAGGAAGCTTTTCTAGAACCTTCGTACAGATGGCTGGATTTTGAAGATAATGTGAATTCTGATCTTGTTGTAACAGGTTGAGTTATAGCAGTTATCGCAGTGAACGGTGGGTTTTACAACCAACGTAGACCACTTAATAAAGAAATCAAAAATTACATTGGGGCACATGAATCAGACATCCCATCCACCCAATCCTTCTAGCAGCGGCCAGTCGAGTGATATGATCCAATTGTTGTGCAATAATACTGGCAGAAGCGTGCACAGCTAGAGAAGAACTTACGTGTATCTGTGAATATCTACAGTAAACACAAACTGTCTGTGACCGTGGTAGAGGATTGTTACCAGTTCAGCCGTTACTGTTATTGTCACCAAAATCAAGGAAATTTTGTGGGACGTTCATACATTGCACAGTTGATATAGCTTAAATGTAAACTAATGTATCTATTACCTCACAGTGCACTGCCTTTAATCATATGCGTGTCTTTTTTCTGAGGCGTCACTTTTTTAACTTTTGGGTTCTAATAAAATGCAATTAATGATTTACACAAATAATACATAATGGTTGGTCATTTTCGCAGACTTATCATGTTTTAGGAAAGTTTAAAAAATGCAAATTTTATTCTGTGTTATTGTAATTATCATTGTGAACCCGCTTTCCGGATTGGTGTAGCATGTATTTGAGCTCCTATTTTCGAGGAAATTTCTACACTGGATTCTCCAGCTGTTCATACCGAGTGTATGCTCCCTCCGCACTGGCTTTAGTTTCTACAGACGTGTACGGTGGCTAAAGGTACACGTACAGTTAGGGGATGACACTTAGACTATTGTGGTAAGTAATATTGACCCTACCCCCCGTCTTTGCCCTTAATTTAATCATAAAGAAAATGAAAGTAAAATTAGTTAATTAATGTGTCTGTACGTGTATGGTGAGAAAATGTGTTGGGGCAGCTGTTCAGAACTCCCTGTGGCCCCTAAGACGCTGACTGGCAGACAAGTAAGACTTCTGATGAAACTGAAGAAATAAAAGGTCAAAAATGTATAAAGATGGAAAAAATTGTAAATCGGTGACTGACCTCCGTACGAGCCTGTATTGGAAACGGTTGTAACTGACCCCTTTGCGAGCCGTCACTGGAATCGGCTGTGAAAGTTGTTTCAATTTTATTGGCAGGGCATTGCCCTATTGCGAAGCTCTGTGTCAAATTAAGGTGTGTGTTTTCTTTTATCAGTCTCTGTTCTAACGTTGAATATTCTATTTCCCTTTATTGCGATACCCGATTACATTCCGAGTACCAATTGAGAACATTTATGGCGACATTTGTATTCCCGTCAAGTGTTTGCAGTGCCCCATGTAATCAATTTCAGCAGTTCCTTTCAATTTCTCGTTCTTCAAGAAATGAAATGTTAGACATAGTTAACTAATTTGTTTGTTTAAATTTCATCGAGAAAGATCAGCAACAACAACAATAGCAACAAGAACAACAATAATATAAACAAAACGTTGAGCAAATCCTTCACAATCACACATTTCAGAGGTAATGACCCATACTGATGGTATGCTGAGGAGCGAGAGGAACCATAGGAGCGTTCCTCTTATAACGGTGGGGGAAGGGGGGGCTGGGGGGGGGGCGCTGGGAGTTGGCGCAGAACAAGGCCGCCAATGAAAACAATCATGCTACTAATAATTATAATAACACCCGTATGTATACAGCTAATACAAAAATTAGCTCAGCCTTAAAAATTAATTTCAGTTACTAGCTCTTACAGCAAAGACGTTAACGTTAACTAAGCCACATGTAAAAGCAACAAATTACCAATCAACATACATCACATAATTATCAACCAGTATCACTGACAACCAATGATGAACGCACTTCAAAGAGCCACGAAATAGATATAAGGTGGGTCGTTTTACAGAAGAACAGCCCGAGGATTGATGTAACTTAACGAACTGACCGAAGCCTCTATCTACAGGGTATTTTGACCCACCGGAGATACACCGGAGCCAACTAAAGTCCAATTCAAAGAAATCTGGCATTGGGATTGTTGTTTTTGCGTGGAATTTTTACATTTTAATTTGCATTAAAACAGAAACTCTCTGTCCGTGCTCTCCTGTGTAGTTTTGTTCGTCAGTTATAAATAGCGACTACGCTACTGTGCGTTTTGATGTTATAGGCATATATACTTTTGAGATAAAAGGTCTCATTTTTTCAAAGGACAATGTGTTTCCTTTGTTTGCTTTGTGGATATGTTCAAAGTGCTGCAGAATGGGTCACAGTGCGGGCAGGACTCACATACTTTTGACGTACGTACATTTAGAAACGTACCTGTGGAATAAATTTGATTAAATTAAGCTTCAAGTGTATCAAATAATTAAACGGTGACCTTTCAAAAAAAAATCTTTCTCTGTTTAGGTCGACGCGATTTAAACGCCAGTCACCTGTGTATGCACATGTGTATTTGTGTTTTTCGAGAAAGAGAGAGATAGAGATAGACCACAGGAACCAAACACGCTTCTTGTGAGGAAAAAAATGAAAACAAGTCAAAACTTATTGATTGGTTTACTGCCAATTTAGTTTGGCATTGTACAGAAACATGACTTTTTGTACGTAACGACCGACTTCTTTTCTTTGAACATTAGTAAAGGCAACTGCCATGTCAATTTTAAGCTTTTCAAACTTTCTACTTGCGTGGGGTCTCACTTGTCTATATGACCCCCTTTTGACCCCAAGAACAAACGCTTTAATCATTGTTAAGGGTTTATCCTCTTCTATGAAAAACATATCCACAGATACGTTTTATAGCGATTTTGTACCGTTTTAATGTAGAAATTTTCTTCACACCACTTCACCGCCCTGATGAGGGTGTTTGTCGGCTACCCAACTCAGAGCACCTTCAAGGGTTAATTTCTCTTTAAGTACGGGGTATTTCGGTACAACTGAGAATACCCTCATTACTATAAGAACGGGAAACCAAAAAATATTTAAAGTGGTGCAATACACAAATTAATAAAAAAAAATTTCCACTTTTTTAGTCATTCTAAAGAAATGATTGTAAACAAGTGTTTATTGTCACAAAGTTAAATTCTTTATTTTCTAAGTTCATATTCAACGTTATTTCATGTACATATACCAAACGGCACTTCAATAAATGGACGCCGTGAAATGACGTCATCAAATGTCTTCCACAAAAGGGAAACTAGTTAAATCATGCAAAAAGTCTAATTAATAATGATACCTTAACAACTAAGAATCTACTTCTTGTCTACCAGAAGGGAGACTCGAGTCCTTTTTACAGGCAGCGGTATTCTCAACTGCAACAGCCCATGAACGAATATGTTCATTAGCTTGTTAGTTGGATCATACATGAAGATTATCAAACACAAGGCGAAAAACCCATACTCAGATACTGTTAGCTTACGGCCAACCTGACATTTATAAGAGGGTTCTGGCCGCTATACCACCGAGCGGTCAGTGAGCGTCAACATCTGCTCACATCCGTCTGATGAAGGCCTACGAAATTAGATCACTTATATTTCTTTGTATCATTTGTATCAATGGAACTCACGACTAAGGAACTTTCTGCCCCCTCTTCTGATAACTCCTCATAATGATATCGATTATAATATTTATTGTTATTATTTTATTTATTTTTACATATACATGTTTAACTTATACATAGCAACAGGGAGGAAGACTTGTGAGGCATGTTTCACGTTTCTTTGTTATCGACGTACCGGGGTACTTAGTTAGGTCAGTAATTACATAAGGCAATGGCTATATGGATACCGAAAATATAGCAAAAAAAAAATCTTTCAGAAATTTTAGTCATGTACAACAATCTACAACACTTTTAATAGTTTGAAATATGATTATATTTTAAATACTTTGAAACAGATGAGAGAGATACTAGTGAAGTGTCTGATCCACTCAGTACATGTACTAGTACCATGGTAAATCAAGCCTTCAAAAACTAGCGTTTTAACCCGTCACCACTGCCCTTCACCGTGACAAATATATTTACCCTCTTATGGAATGTGAGCAGAAAGTATTATGAAATTGACTTAATGCACATACTTGTTAAAATACTTCAAATACTTTGCATTCTATTATTAAATACTGGATAAATATAATAAATATGTATTGAAAATTGAAATAATCAATTTTACAATATGAAATAAGGGTGTGAAATGGTGGTCCCGATCCACTATTTTTCAACTAAATTCAGCCAAAAATATCATGGCCCCTCAAACAAAAATAAATAAAATAAAAAATTAAAGAAAAATAATAAAAAATAATGATGATGAAATAAAACGAATAATTTTCACAAACCATATGAAAAACTCGTCAGCTAAAACTAGTTCACTTGGTAAGATAAATAGCGTTACCTTGATAAATCTACCGTGCACGTGTAACGTCCATTGTACCCCTGTATAATGTATATACCTAATCCGCTGACAATAACCAGTATTATAAACTGGAAATACTAGTATGAGAGGAGAGAGGTACCCTCTACTGCAGATAAATTGTGTGCATTTTTTTCTTTAATTGTGTGATGAATTAGCTAGAGACACCTCTGTGAATATCTGGTAAAAAATCAATATGTGACCCTGGTAGATGGTTAGAGAGAGGCATCTCCCCCATCCAGGTACATGTATGTAGTAAGTAATTTTTATAATATTGTGAAATCTATAAAATTGCCAGCTTATCAAGCTGATCAAGTCTATGATACAAATCTAAATACCAGTTATTTTAATAATATTATTCACTGGATCTTAACTAATATTCATCTATTTGTACTTGCACATAAGTTAATGCGTATAAGTAATATATAAATCTACTAGTCCTTGTATAGGAAAGTTAAATGGGAAACGTGTGGGAAGGAAAACCAAAAACAACATGGATGGACATCATAAAAGAATGGGCAAATCAAAAATATAGGTAAAGTAAACGTATGGCACAAGATGGAGAGGCATGGAAATCTATGACAGCCAACCTGCTGAGAGTGGATGCCACCCAATGAAGGCAATGAGCACTTGTAAATATACTCAGTTATTTTAAATGGACTGGCTTTATATACTAACAGATGACTGCCATGACTATGGCAACATTTGTGTCCCACCCTTTGGCAGATCACTGAAACTCATAAAACTGAAGGTCTGTGTAACAAAGAGTCCATCCTTCTTTAAATTATACAAGTTAGGGTTAGCCTGATGAAATTGGGTCAAAATCTATGGCGAGGCTTACCTGTGCAAATTAATAGGAACTGGACTCTCTATATTGGGGGACTCTCTGTCACGTCAAAATGGTCCAGCTGACGGGTCACACAACCAATGATGACGTCACCAGCTTAGACCCCATTTCCAGAGATTAGATCGATCTACTTTAGATAGACCTAACTCCCTGGGGGTTCATGCTAAATAGCTGTCAGCCGAAAGTTAATTACCCCCTTACAGCTTGTAGTAGGCAGGATGGACATTTAAGCCAGATTATCTGACAGTAATCTAGTGAGACTCCCCACGGGGATAGATGGATCTAAAAGCTCTGGGAATACAGCCTTAGATACATGTAGAAGATATTAATAATGAGGTTTAGCCTGGTGTTCTAACAGTTTCTGGAAAGTCCAGAACCACATGTGAAAATATCACCTTTGTTGGTTATTAGAAACAAGGTGTTAAAAAGAATAAAATGTTCAACTCTGTTTGAATATCACATCACAGTAATGTGTAGACACTCAGATCTAAAAATATTTTAAGAGAAAAACCATTGAAATGTAATACTTTGGGAAGAGAAAATGCACACAGGGTATGAACCATTTCGATATACAGTATTATAATACTTATCACCTTTGAAATTTGTCTTGGGTTGCTTATTATACTTTAACTGGAAGAACAAACAACAAAAAATAGCATTTATGAAATAAAAAAATTCAACAAAAACAGGAGAAATTTATCCGCTGCATGCAACCTCATAACTAGTTGTCTGAAATTCCCTAAGTAAACCAACCTTAGCAAATTTCAAGAAATTTTTCAATGGGCACATCCCATCAATGAGACTTCCTCCGCAGAATCTCAACTTCCTGGTGACATCTTTGCCAAGATACACCACCCTCATGTACAGCCTCTCATTGGCTACGCTCCTGTAGAGTTCAAAGGTCAATCGAGATGCAAATGGGGGCCATATCCCATCATGCAGTCCTAGTGCCGTCAGCAGTGGGGAGATCGTCGTATCGTGACCAGAGAACAGTGCGAACTTAACTGGCTGTCGTTTGGCTTTGTATTTGTACATGTGTGCCGCCATTAGCTTTGACAGTCTTAACACTAGAGGATACGCAATGAGCACCGAGGCCTTTCTATGACTATCTGACTGTTGCTGATACCCTATCAGAGTATAAGCTGCCTTCACTACTGCCTCTAAGTCATCTATGTCAACACATTTCCCATTCAGTTTTGGTAAATCAACATTGTGGCATGCATAACCCATGAGGACGTCCATAATTTCCGCCGGCCATGGGGCACGTTTGGCTCCACTGAACCTGTCTGCAACAGAGATCAGGATTGGGTCTGTCTTGATTTTCTGAGTGATGTCTTCTCTCATTTGTGCCTTCAGCCGCAAAAGAGCTCCACACTTACAGGGCTGACCCAAAATCAACTCATCACAATAGTTATCATATTGATAACTACCAATATCTAGTCTGAACTTGCTGAAACTGAAACCTGGAAGAAATCCATAGAGGAAGGCCAGGGCGCTCTGCACAGTTCGCCCTCTATTGGTGGACATAAGAAGCATGTCAGATTGGGTGAAGTTTTCAGCAAGGAGTTTGTGCTTGTTGACGTAGGCACCCTGCAGGTGGAGGCCCAGTTTGACATGCTGCGTGGCTCCTAGTGGTGTTAACATGGCACTGCCACAGTGGTGGGACTCAGGGTGCAGCTCAAACCCATTGAACTGGGTCTGCAGGTAGGAGTGGGAAGACATGGTCCTCACGTAGGAGCTCATCTCTGATGCCTAGGGAAGAAAAATTGTATTATGAAGAAATGTATTGCCAAATATGATCAACATTGTCTACCTCCAAGTGCTAAACTATTGTACTATTGTGGGTCTTAAATACAGATACATATTTAATCCTACTACATATATCATCACTGATTTCATAAACTTGTTTTTGTTATTAGGCAAAAAATTATTCTGTACAAAAAAAGGAATAAAATAACGAGAGAAAAATACAGGAAGCTACTTTCTAAATCCCTTATATCTTATCTTCTACTAGCATTATCATCTTTATAATAATAATAATAACAATAATAAACATTTTCTATCAACACTATGTCTCATACATTTTCACAGCATACAGTGTACCTGTTGAAGCAGGCCATCGTCAAATTTGCAGGATAATGACAGCTGTTTGTACAGGGACAGCACACTATTGTTGTGACCCATGGGGGAGCGATCACCATGGCGGATTACGACATAGGCCGCAAGCAGTTGATAGCCCCTGTTGTTAATGCCTAAAAAGATATGAAGACATTTCTCTTGCTAGCTAACCAAAACATAAACAGTCCATTTTTAAATAAAACAGGAAGTTTATATATTTATCAGTCTCTCTCTCTCTCTCTCTCACTCTCTCTCTCTCTCTCTCTCTCTCTCTCTCTCTCTCTATATATATATATATATATATATATATATAACTACCGAGTATATATATATATATTTTTTTTTTTTTTAAATATTTTTTTCTATCAATCCTGGGATTGATTTTCTATCAAACTATTCAAAAATATATCAACACCTCTCATTCAATTTCACCAATCTTCTTCAATTAATATATTTATTTTCTAAGCATCTCCAACACATTGGATTTGGTACAATTTAATTGTCATCCTCTAAGAAAAGTCTGATAAGTATCCCACCTTCCCCGGTATCACCTCTCTCCTCCTGTCTGAAAGGAGAGTTACAGTAGCTGAGGACGTCATCTTTCCCATAGTCAAACAGAGCGCCTGGGTTGTTCTCACAGCCTGCAGAGACACAATCAGTGAATTGTCACAGGAATAAGAACAATAATCAAAATATGGACTTCAACAACAGTTTACAGTATTGTTAAACAGTTTCTGGGAATGTCTTAAAAACAGAGCTTCAAACTTTACACTTGACTATTTACATCTACTTTAATTCAGTTTCATTGTATTTCATCCATTTATTTACCTTTATTCTTATTAACTTTTAATAGCTCTTTATTTGTTTTATCTTTTATCTATTTGAAATTAACTTGACCCTATTTCACTATCTAAATCCATTTATTTATCTTTGTGAGGTGTGGCCCATGTTTTTAAACCACTAAATATACTTCATTACTTACCTTTGAAACTTTTCTTCCTGGGAATGAATTCTGGTCTCACCTGTATGTACTCCCCAGCCCTGGAGTGCACCGCGGGGAGCCTTATTACCTCAGGACCTCTGGACAATGCTTGGAAGATAAAGATGTATAGAATACAGCCACACATAAAACTGCATTTTGAATTAATTCATCAATTAATGAGTGAATGATTGAATGTTGTACGTATATAGCTAAATTGCTACTATTCAATGGATTGCTTACAGGGAAATTAAATGACAAAGTTCAAATACATTTTTTTTCTAAAAAGTATGAAAACTATATATCTTATTCAAAGGTTTTAGATTTAGCAATGAAGAATGACAGAAATAATAATATATACTGTTATCTTCATGAGGTCAAGGATTTCTTATAAAAGGAACAACAGGGGCCACCCTCAAAGTTTCATATGAATAATCTTATATATTAGCCAACCAACATATGCAGTAATTATATATTATAAGTAAATCAACACACACACACATATTAGCCAGCCCACACACACAATACTTACATCTGAGAATAAAGAACATGACGACCACCAGGACCAGCAGCATGGCCAGCTTGAGGCGCCACCATGTGGCACACCCCAGAGCACTCACCGCCATAACGCGTTTCTCTCGCCAGTCACAATGATGTCATCACTAGCAGGAAGGGGTATGGTACATGAAGCAAAGAGTTTAAGAGCAATGTTCTTGGTCATGTGTGTGGCTGAGAGTTTGCCTTCATTTTCATCGTGGCTAAAATGCAAAGGAACAAAATTTAAATTGTACAGTGTGAACAGGAGTATATATGTTTACAGTAAACTCGTTAGCGTATGAGAGTGCGTAATTACGCGTTGTTTTGCTGTTTTTACGCATTGGCTGGAGCCCCAGCGCGTACGAATACGCACACCTTTGGCTTTGAAGATCGGCGAAGTTGACCAGTCCGTTGACTGTTGACGGTCAGACTCATGTTGAAAATGTCATAATTGATTCCCAAGTGTCTCATTTTTTTCTTAAGATATTTGAATTACCCGACTAAAACATGCTTCTTCTTTCACTGACCCGCAGAGGATGACGTAATCTTCTCTGATTGGTCATAATATGCAAGTTTTAGGTCAAAGCACGTGTGCCTCTCTTTAGTATAAACAAGGTATGAACAACGATGAAATGATCGTTTTTTTATTCACATAATTGTTCAACATTTTAATTGAGCAACCATACGTTTAGGACCAATTTAAATCACTCGCCCAGACCAAATACTTTAGGCCAGTAACCCTTGTGACTTTTGTAGTTTTAGTCGTCAGAATAAATTTTTAGTCGCATTTGACGAGCGGGCGACCGGGAATTTCCAGCTCTGCTGATTACNAGTAAGAAGTATGAACATTTTGATTGATTAAAATGGCTAAATATGTAAATTTTGTGTCCCTTCTCAAAAAGTATACTAAAAAATGCTTGTTTGACAGAGACGGATACTGGGTGACTACTTGTCGTGACCTATGCGTGACCTGTCCATTTTGTTTTTGTTTTCTTTTTGTTAAATTGCAATAATAAAAGATTTTGGATAAAAGGATAGTGGGTTATTGTTATGAAAGTGAACTGTGTGATTGCATGATTATTAATACATAAAACTACACCTTGATGAGAATTTTTTAATTTTACCCCTTCATTTTGAAAATTACCCCTTCTATTTTTGGGCAAGGGGTACGGTACTCCCTTAGAAAAATCCTACCGAGTGCACTGTGTTTATATTGTACATGCACCTCTACTAGTATGTACGCAGATAAATTATTGTGGAAAGTGATACATTAGTGATATATAGATACAGGCACAGAATACTTCACAAGAGTGAAAAATGTAAATATGGTATACCTGTAAAAGGTTAAAATGAAATAATTTAAAAACCAATTAAAATATAAAAATACAAATGTGGTACAGAACAGCTTAAATAAGAATTTCACTCAATTCACAATGAAAATAGGACAGCAAATTTATAAATACAGTGCATATGGTCATCAATTCTAGGTCAGTGAGATATCTAATCAGTTACCCAGTTGGCACATATACACGATATAAAATATCCCATATGTACTTCTGTCGACTGAACTCGAGACCAGTGCTACTGTGTAAGCTACAGTTCAGGTTGTCACTGGTTAATAGCGCTGCGTGTCGTTATTAATAAACTCTAACAGGGGGACTATCTAAATTGTGCAATACACCGCAATGCAGCGCAACACAGCGCAATACACTTGAAAAAACAAGTCCAGTCACAAGTAAACACAGAAAACGGTCATTCTCAACAAAATAGGCTGATATGAGAGTGAAATATATTACTAAATAATAATTAGCCTTGATAAAACTTAACAAATTTGCACATTTTGTTTATCGTCGGGTCAGCCGCCATGTTGGTTAGTGGCACTTCTTGGCTGGTAATATTGTCAAGAAGAGCCACAAGGCAACATGGCAGCTGAAGTAGCGCCGATGTGTTAGTTATATCAATGACATCAATAATCTAGTCAAATATTTTGCTTTTATATCACCTTATTATGTTGAGAATTACCGTTTTCTGTGTTTACTTGTGACTGGACTTGTTTTTTCAAGTGTATTGCGCTGTGTTGCGCTGTATTGCGGTGTATTGCGTAATTTAGGCAGACCGCTCTAACAGTACCTAATTACATTGGAGCACATGCATGTACATATATGAGATACAACTGTAGCCAGTGCTAATGATTTTATGAAATACCTTCACAATACTTATAGTTCTTGATCGCGTTTTTTGCACTATCGTGGACTTGATTATTATTTTCAAGTCTGTTTTATGAGGTATTTAGGTTCATCAGCCGATCAAGGTGAGAGCTGAGCGTGGCCATGGCCACATTGAAGCGCTTCCAAATTACAGAATCCAAAGACTGTAGTTTACAACGGCGTACATACAGTACGGATATTTAATACATTCGTCAAAAAAAAATAATTTTATTAGACTAGTATTATTAAGCACTATTTTACGTGGTCGATAAATCCATTAACCGGTGACACTGACAAACGAGCGCAAGAATTAAAATTCTTCATCTTTCTTGGCGTTTACGGGTGACTCTTACAACTAAAATCTCTAGTAATGTAAGCAACAACAAATGTAAAGATGGGTATATAGATCTACGTAGCAAAGAGTGAAAGTACCACACAATGCAATAAAACATACTGGAATAATTACCAAAAACTCTGCCACCTTCCACATTTTTCGCCGACGATAGCTTTATCCGATCTCCTTGTCACAAGATTTCTTCTTCCGGTTTCCGGTTTATTTCCCAGTGCTTGCAACTTGAAAGGTGCCTCGTTTTTCTTGCATATAGTGTACCTATGAGTTCGTTTCTTAATTGAAATACTGCATCATAATTTATTTTTACGATATCGTAACTTTCATTACATCTTTCTAATCGCGCCATAGTGTTTCTGTTATTAATGAATATTGCTGGATATTTCCCCAGATTCTTAAAGTTAAAGTCGAGACGTACAGACAAGTCGAGGCTCTTAATTGAGTCTTGTACTATTTGTAGCAATGAAAAATTAACGCCAGGAAACGACCGAAAACACAGGATTATGCAACCTTGCTTCTGCATTTTACATGTGTTAATTATATTGTTGTTCCAATACACATTTCTCTATTAATTTTAGATCAAACCATTGTTAACTCAATTTCAGATGATGCCGGGGTGAATACAGTATAATCACCCAGCGTTTGACTTTGACAATGTTTCAAGATGTGACTGATGATGATGATGATGCAGAATTGAAAAGGACAGTGTTGTTAGGTTACACTGATGTAGATGCTTCAAGCAGGTAATTTAAAAAGCATAGTTATAAGTAAAAAAATGCTTGATGATAATTAAATATTAGAATTTTTATACACACAGGGACCATTACACATACTTTATACAAGGAGTTATCTGTTATAACTCCTTGCTTAGTATATCAGTACATGCTCTCTCACATACACAGTGCCTCAATCAATTCTTTTTACATTTTGTGGATAATGTTATCTTTAATTTTGACATTCCTTTTAAATCTTGTACATATAGCATATACTGTAAAGTGTATCTCCTCTAACCAATTTGCAAAGTACTCTTCATCATTTATTATTCCAGCCGTGCTCTACTTGGCATTGACATGAGACTGGAGTACCACAGTTTCAAGGTCCCCAGCCTACAAGATCACCAATTCCTCCCAGCATGCATCAGGAGCATCAGAGCCAAGCCAAGAGAGCAGGAATTTCAGGCGTTTCAGATTCTGAACTGTAAATATGAAGAGGTACTATTGCCTGAAATGTGTGTGTGGCTTTAGGCTGGATCCCCCTCTTCCACGGCCCACCCAATGAAACAGAGAAACAAGGGTGAGGTTATTTGGGAGACTTGGGAATCAGATGTAAAAATGTGTGTGTGTGTGTGCATGCATGCATGTGTGTGTGATTGTGTGTGTCTGGTGTGTGTAGAATTGGGAAGCAGGAAAAACCCTAACATAAATTTCCTGTAGGACCTGCATGTATCAAGTATAGGACTATGTCCTATACATGAAGGAAACTGGTCCTAAAATCCTATAGGGTTCTACAGAACATACATGTATTTCCTAGGTAATAATCCTGTAGGACCTCTGATAGAATTTGCTGGAGTCACATGAAGTCCTAAAGGACTGTTTGTCCTGAAGGAAATTTTTATGAGGGAGGAAAAAATACTGTGGTTGGATGGCTATTTCAGGTTACTTGTCTTAACAAGACTAGCTAACATACATGTATGTAACGTTCCTGATATCTCTTTATACAGTATGCATGCCAAACTCCTTTCCCCAACAGCCTTTCTACTAGAAAATGTGTTATATACCCAGTACTTCATTGCTTGTATTCTTGTTGCTGATAGAGGTACTATTTTTTCTTTCAGTTCTCTGCGGTCATTGTGAACACCAGCGTCCCTGGTACACACTGCCACCTGGTGGCCAATACAATACTGGATCTCTGCGCTAAGAGGTTAGTGGGAGAAAAACTACATGTATGACAGCAAAACACTTTAGTCATAGAACTTATAGCAGTCAATGGCCATTTTGTTTCAGTTTGTTTATAGTTTGAGTTTGAGATTTAAGTTACATTTCAGATACATGTCTGGGTAGTTGTAAATGCCACATGTATCCAAAAATTTTTTCTGACAGTCTTCCAAATTTTCACTGTTGAACCCTGCTCCATTTTTGACTGTCTTCCAACAGAAAAAATTAGATGCCCATCAATGGAAATACAAAAAATTCTGACTGTCTCCAGAAGACCCAAAGGACGGCTTCCATCCTCCCCTGTTTATCTATATACCTGGTGAACAGGCCATTGTGTTCATTTTTAACTTTAATTCCATCGGAATGTTTAAGGGAAAATGCTGTAGTTGCTTTTAATTAATGTTTTCCTTATATGTGTGAAGAATATTTGAAATATTCCCTGTAATGCTCTTGCCTTCCAGTCCCTTCACAGAGAAGATAATATTTTTGGCATCCCTCAAGTTGGACCTCCCATCCAGTCTACAGCAGTCCAGAATGTTTGAGGTGGCCTGGAATACTGACCCTGGTATAGCTCTTATTTATTTATTTATTTATTTATTTATTTATTTATTTATTTATTTATTTTATTTTTTAACCTGACCTGGAATACTGATCCTGCTATGTCTGTAGAGAATACAGTGCACATACCTTTCCCTCAATATTTATTTTTTAATTTGTTTATTTAATTATTTATTCATGTGTGTTTGATTGTCATTCCCTCTGTTAATTAAGTTATTATTTTATTTTATTTAGTTGTGATTTATTTTTCTGTGTATTTCCTCAGTTTTCTTTGAGACATACATGTAACTTCTTTATGTTCTTTGATGAAGTTGGATTTTTTCTGTTAATTTTTTACTAATAAAAGCATTATGTTATTAATTTCATAAGGTTTGCAGCTGCACTTAGAAAAAATCACATTTCCTAGAAAAATTATTTTGCACATGGTATAAAGCACATTATTATTATTATTATTATTAACATTTTCATTAATTTTAGTTTTGTTGAGTTTTGCATGTTTGGTTTTATCTCTGCAGTCACGTCCTCCCCCACCCTCCCCGCGGACACCAAGATCTGCGATTCCTTCTTCAGCACCTTCTCACAATTTGCACAGGTTAAATTGTGTGATGCTTGATCAGAATAAGACTAAAAATAATACTGATTCTCCGCACTAGATGTTTGATTTTATTTTCAAATTTTAGGCATGTTAGAAGTAAACTTGTCTATATGTAGTTGTAGCTCAGCATTTTGATGGATCAGTTGATGTAGATTGCCAGCTATTTGATTTTAATTTTATTTATTTGATTCTGTTTCTCGTAACCAATCCAGTGACAAACTGGGTAAAATATTCATTATATTTCTCAGTGTTGATATAGGATAAGGAACTAATCCAATTTTGATAAACAAATAGGTAGGTCATATTTAAAGCTGTTTGGTGAACCATTTTGAAAAAAAAATTGTTTTTCTCTGTTTGCTAGGTTGAGAAGATTCCAGTGATTTATTTTATTTCTCAGGGTCAGAGAGCTTTGTTTGGACAAGCTAGTTCATTTGATGGTTCTCTACAGGTATTACTCTCTCTCTCATTATATAATATAATATAATATAATATAATATAATATAATATAATATAATATTTACTGACTGTTGCTCTTTTCTACTATAATATTTTTGTATATTTTAATATAATTTATCATTATTATCTAAATGCTTTTTTTTTTGTATTATTTTCCATCAGAATATCGCCACATTCCAGTCAGAACTGAACAATTTAACTCGCCTCAGATTTGATCAAGATCTCAGTAACTCTCTGGTGAGGAAATTTATGATATTATAGCCATATATAATTTTATTTTGGTATATTTGTGAAATATTGCTTAAGATCTCAGTAATTCTGTGGTGAGGAATGCAATGATACTGTGTGTGAATGTTGATATGCAGGTGTGTTTTTAACCATAGAAGCTCTGCATTTCTTAACATGATTATATTAGTGATATGATAACAACGGTGATAAATTACTGATAATAATAATAATAATATTGATGACATTTACTTGTGGCGTGGTGCAGATGGTGTACATGAAAAAGTTAAAATGACGGCAAATGCCAGGATGTGAATTTAATTGTTTGCAGATTATATCTGTGTTTATTTTTACATTGATATACATTTTTGTCTTTTAATTTAATCACAGCCCCACCAAACTTGTCTTTTGCACATTTGGAAGAGTTTTTCCTGTTTGTGATGATGAATTTTTGTATGTGCTTACACCTCCTGGTCATTATTTATTTTGTTTATTTTTATAGATTTTTCAAGGTCTTCCAGGAAAAGAAACAGCTCCTGATTGGATATATGAGTAAGCTATGCTACAAATGTAAAGCAAGGATGATGACTTCCTCTCAGATTTGAAAAGTTTCTGTTGGTTTTGGTTAGTGAGACGCCATCAAGTAGCAGTCTAATATCACTATCAGACCAATAAACTCATCCTCTGTATCGTTTCATTTTCAAGTCAGTGAGTTATTTATATATTTTATGCATTCTGAATGAATTTATATTTTACTCTGACAAAAAGTTAAGGTAGACTGGGGTAGCGCTAGCAACTTTTTTGTCTTAGCCAAATCACCACTTTTTGGTCAATTGGTTATCAAAATGATTATAATTTGACTTAAACAAGTCAAATCAGGACCTTTTTCTTTAGCCAATTTAAGTCAGTTTTAGCATTTGGCTAAATTGGCGTGTGTTAGCGCTCCCCCAGGTAGATCTTTTGTTTTGAAGTGTTAGGGTTAGAGTATATCAGTATTTTATTGTTTAATATTGCAGTTGCTGCCTGTTTTTAGACAGTACAACTTAAATGTGATCAGAATTTTGCTCATTCTTTGCTCTCTTACAAACTTAAATGAAAAACTTCTGTGAAAATATATTTCAAAATATATATAGCCTAATTAATATGCTCACTATCTTTTCTGTACTTTTTTCTTTCAATCGTTAAAATTGTTTGGAAACAATATCCCAATTATTAAATAAAATTCATCTTTTTGAAAGTTATCACCGATGATGGAAGAGTTGTTATTGCCAAGTCAAATTCAGTTTCATCTTAATTTGGTACATTGATAGGAAATAGTTAACATGAATGGGTACAAAGGGGGATTGATTCAATAAAGGACCAGCCGAATGATCCATCAAAATAGGAATAAAACTAACAAAATTTCGTTTTGTGGAAATGTTCGGGAAAGAAACAGCGTCTTGCATTACGTTCCACCATAACGTTTTCTAGGTTATTGCATAAGCTCGGTTATTAGTGTTGAAGAAAACAGTCGTTGAAACGCGTATTTTGAAAAACAACATGTTTTATTCAGGTTCTAGTTTGAGGTACCATCGTCGTAATTCGTGATTATTTTTTTAATAATAGACATTTTTATATCTCAAGTTTCCCGTTTCTTATAAATAAATAAATAAGTAACAGGGAATACATTAACTAATTATTGATAATCAGTTTATATGAATGAATGAATAATCTGTCACAGTTCAGTGAGAATATATTGCTGCATTCTGACGGTTTACTTCAGGAAAGGGAGCTGACAGTCAACTGAGCAACTGCGGGTTCCCTCTGCAAGTTTGTCTAAGCTGCAGCTTGCATTTGACCAGATCGTTATCAAAATGCTTCTGGACTATTTTACTTCTTAGGTAGAACTGCAAATACTAATGAAATTCCGAAAGATTAATAAACGTCAACGACCTCAGAGGTCCGTGCTTTCAACTCTTACCACTGGTTGAAGTCGACGCGGTTTCATTTGAGCGGAATTTTCGAACTCGTTATCCACCATGAGCGAGGCCGGAGAAATGACAATAGACGGCGGCAGCCGTTGAGAGGAAAGGGTGGAGTCAACCGCCGGCGAACGAATCGGCTGCAAGCGTGGGCGTGTCAGAGGCGATAGCCCCGCCCCGGCTATGCTTGACGTGACCGGTGGAAGGGATTTTACAGGAGGTAACGCCTTGACTGGAGGCAGCGTGCGGCGTTTCTGTGGCTGGAAATCGTTCAGAATGTCGTCTATCTCTTTCGTCATGTCCGGCTCGCTCTGCCTGGGCGTGGCTGTCGGTCGGCTGATAATGACGTCGTTTGAAGACTGCTGCTGCTGAGAATCGACGGCTGTATTGTCGCTGAAACGCACCCCCGGTCGCTTGGCGTCGGGCGTCGTTGAACGAGAGCGAGAGGATGAGGGTCTCCCTCCACTAGGCGCTGGGATAACGAGTTCTTCCTCTCGAATAGGAGGTCGCGGAGACCGGTTCCCGCTGGTGGGTCGTGATGAATTCATGTCACCTCCTACCGACGCTGATGGGTGGAGAGCCGTGACCCTAGGCGACGGGGAATTCCGGCTGGCGTCCATGCTGGCGACGCTCTGAGATCTTCCACCCGCTGCCATCGACCCTGGGCGTGCAGCACCAGACGCAGGTCGACCGCCGGCACTGGAGCCCGGGCGTCCTCCAGCACCGCTCTTAGGCCGCGCGCTGCTCGGACGCGGCGTCTTCTCGACAATGCCCGGAATCGCTGCGCTGCTATCGCCTTCACCGTCCGACAGAGAATCGCCGCCATCTTCGTTTGCGATATGATCGTCGTTCTTGTCGTTGTCCCGTTTGCTGTTGTCGACGGTGTCGTAGAGGTGCTGGTCGAACTGTTCCCGCATGTGGCGCCGCGTCTCCGCCTTGAACTGCTCGAACTCGGCGTCATATTGCTCCTCGTCCTTCCCGTACCGCCGGGTGGCCGCAGTGACGGGACGGCCGGATGCCGTGGTGGGACGACCGGATGCCGTGATGGGACGACGTGAGGCACCGTTGCTGCTTCCGTTTGAGGCCTGCGGTGGTGAAATATGATAAAATATATTGATATAAATTGCATAATATTAGATTATTTAAGACTGTTTTAAAGGAGGTACATGTATCACAGACAGAGAAATAAAATGCCGAGGAAATTTTTAGAGTGTTTGTATTCGGTTCATTGTTTATTAATCAAAGACTGACCTTTCCAGGGGACGCCGCTCGGTGATAGCGTTTCTTTCGTCTGGCGTCTCTTACTTTCTTGTAGCGTTTCCACAAATACTTGAACACACAGAAAGCAACAATTACCGCAAAGATAAAGGCTGCTAAGATTCCAAATACCCAACCTGAAATTATAGTAAGCAGCGATGCTGATAACGAACGTAATTATTTTGGAGGATGAATTAATACTGTATCTAGAATAAAGTACGTTAAGAGTGAAAATTTACAAACACGGTAAACAAAAAGAGAAACGCTAAAATCTGTGACAATGACGTCATGGTACGTGAAATGGTGACTTTAACGCGAGACCAAAGTTCCGTAATCATACCTGGAAAATCACTGCGCCCGTCTCCAAAATTGTATACTGAAAGAATATGACATATTTTTAGTAAATTCCTGGTAGCTGGAGTTCACAGGTATTTGTCTAGATGGTTGCAACTGTTTTTCATTTCACGTGTTTAAGAATATTAAACGCTTATATTTTACATAAATGCTTGTCCACCAGGTCAAAAGTCACCTTGGTTGATGCAGATTTTGGGTTTAAACCCAACTCCATCTTGCATACTTTTTAAAGAAACAAAAAACGAGCTACTAATGAGCACCGTACAAAGCTTACCTCTTGGTTCTCCGTACATCGTCCACACCAGAATGAAGCCTGTTCTCTGGACAGTTCTATCAGACCGGAAGTTAATAGACACGCGGGAGGAGTTGGTGTCGATTTCTGGCGGTATGGTGTACCCCGTGAATACTTCTCCATCAATCTGAAATCATTAACACTGAATAGAATAAATCAGCACGTATGTTTCGAATTATTTAAGTTTGCTAACTTCACAGATTCATTGCTCTGTATTCGGTATATTGTGTACCCGGTAGCAAATAAAGCTGAGATAGAGAAGAAGATGCTGCAGTACTAGTACCGTAGGCGTAGGGCGCAAGGTGATTATCGCGTCCTAGCATAGGCCTAATGTACCGTTGTAGTTTTAGAGACCCTATACCAAAGCCCGTTCTCGAAAATTCAGAGTCACATTGAAGTCTGTTTTTAACCGTGCAAATTATAACCGTCAAAATAACAAGAAATGTATACCAAAATATTACTAAAATACAATCAAGTCTTATACATGTATGTCACATTGAAATGCATGCTACCATTATCATATTTGCTACCATTACCTAAAACCGTTCATCATAACGTTAACATACCGTTAAAAAATCACAACACTCCTCGAGGTCCATGGCTGTGACCTTCACCTTGACCTTGAGTCCCGAGGACACAGAGATGTTCCAGGTGTGGCTAAAGTCGTTAGGGTACAGGGAGGGGTGCTGGGTGTCACTGGCTGACCGGAGGGTTTTCCCGTCCTTGTCTCCGAGAATTGTCGTCTGGCCATTACCTGGAGGAGAAGTGATCAGCGGAACATTCAATAGGCCTACAAGTTTGAAATTCTGGGACTCCGTTTTGGCAGTTTTAGACACAGACTACAGCTGTTTATGCCGGTTCAGACGAGAAAGGCACTAGACAGGGAACCAGAAAAATTTATTAATAAAACTTTAACGAGTTTCATTTCGGTCAAGTAGTCCATTAAACTGAAATGAATTTACAAAATGTCCCTATTAAAATCTAAAAACAACGAATACCTCTTGAAACTAGAAGAAAGAAGCCAGATTATATTTGCTGTTAACAATGCACCGTTACCTTCCACAGTGGGGGCGACAGATTGAGTGCAGGACGAGAGTTCAGTGATTGTGACGTCATCTATAGCGTAATCTCCATGGTTATCTATTCCACGTGACACTTCGAAGACCAGCTGCGAAGTAAAATGTTTAAAATGAAAGTCACATTCATCCAATAACATAAAATATTTGGCAAACGCTTGGGTCGTAAAATGCAATCTGTATTTAAAAAAAACTATAAGACAGGACTTAACTGTGCATATCGTTTTTAAAGAAATCAAAAATGATTTAAGTTTACATTTGCGCTTAATTACAAGATTAATGACGACAGTTGCTGAAAATTATTGTCGAAGTATTGAACATATTAGTTCAAACTCAAATGCCTTGTCGATGACACCGTGTCGTTAGTATGCGGCATCCTTTGAGACATGTCAGATGAATTGATGAATGATGTAGCGATTAAAAAGGGACATGCTACCTTAAACGTCTCCGAGGACGTTATCCTGAACGGGGCACTAGATGGCGCTTGCCAAGACTGTATCACGCTGAAGCCGCTAGCGCTTTGCCACATTGGTGCGTTGGGACTGCCGTCTATGTACACCCTGAGTACCTCAACACTGGTGCCCCAGATATGATACCAGAAGTTGAGATCTGCACACCCAGTGAACAGGGTGATCGGCGGGGAGTAGAGCAGGGTCTTGTCGTTGTAGACCTGGAAAGTATAAATTGTATTGAAAAAACAAATTATTCCAAAGATAATACAGACTGTGAGCCGTAGAGTAATGGAGTTAAAATGAAACATGGTCTAAGCATTTTAACATTTTTCATACTTCATTGTTTTCTTACCCCTTGGTCCGTCTCAGCATACAGATAATAGCCAGCGTCCGTGCCAAAAGTGTGGTCAATCTTGGGGCCGGTGGCTGGAGTGGGCGTGGCGTTGCTATGTCTCAGCCAATGGAAATTGTTAACGTTGGTCGTAGTAAAGCCACACCAGTCGGCTTCGAAATCACATGAGAGACTGCCGGTATCTAAAAAAAATAATAAAATTACGACATTAAAATATAGGTTTATTGTGCATAAAGTTAAACGTTGACAAAGCCGCTTTTGGAAAAAGTTTCTATCATAAAAACTGACATATCTGTGTCAAAGATATGGTTTCATCAATCAATAAGTTAATGTTCAGGAAAGATGTGAGAGAGAACTTTAAGCCATAACTAAGATCAAGAATAAAGAGACCATATAGAGGGCCTACGTCATGCGTGACATAGGCTTAATGTATGTAATATCCAAAGAACTATTAAACACACTATTACCTACTTACCCGTGGTAGGCGTAATGGCATGTGGCGGGCATGAGGATGATGACGTCACGGTGATGTCATCCACAGCCAACGTGATCGCTCCATATCCTGCTGTACCTTCAAATACTAGCTGCAAATAATATAGAGTACTCAATAGTCAAGACACTAAGGCTAGCCTATAACTTCAAAACTACAGTAGAATAATCTCGGTAGCAATTGCTCTGTAGTTAGTACATGTATATTGGTTAGAGTACATACTTGGCTTTTGTCATATTTTGATAAGTTTTATAGCTATATTTAGGTAGGTGCATGGTATTGGCCCATGTGCTGTAAACCTGTTCATTATTTTACATTAACTCATTTATCCAAACTACCTTAAATGTCGCAGGGAAGTTTATGGCTACGGACACTTGTTGCCAGGCGGGTAAAGGGTTACTGCCATTGAATGACCACAGAGTAGCCAGTCCGAGGAGGGCGTGACTCTTCAGTTTCAGGTTAAGCTCTCCGACGTTCGCCCCAGACGCGAAGTAGAAGAAAGAGATGCTCCCGCAGCCACTGAACTGAAAGTCAGGGCTGTACAAGCGGGCGTAGTCGCTGTAGGCCTGGCAGTGACAGAAGTGAGGTTTGCAGTATTTGTGATATATATAAATGTAATTTATACCAATGTAACTATAATCTATACAAATGTAACTTTATTCAATGTACAGTAGCCTCCCTTTTTTTTTTAATTAATTTCATATCAGATAATAAAACAAAGCAGCTTTTACGTTTCTACAAGTACTATTTTGCGGCCATTTTGGAAATCTTGAAGAATATATTTCATTTATATTTTGATGAAGTGTCATAACAGTTGATTTAAATATTTACACGATTTACTTACCGTTTTGCTTTAAATTTTAGTTATAATAAATTTACACAAACATATAAAAAAATTTACTAAGAAAGACTGAAAAATAATTGTTTAAAAAGAAAAAAAAACACATGGAGTTACATATGTTGGCAACTCTCTAGTTTCCTGCAAGAAGTCTTGTTTTAGACGTCTGCCCAATGCCTTACCTGTGAAGTGGGATCAATAAAGAGAGCCTGTCCGGTTCCTGACCGGTCTGTAGGCGGCTCATATGTGGATGAACCGTTTCCTCTTTTCCAGTCAAAGAAATCTAGCTTGTCTTGCGTAAAGGAGCACCAATCGCTGTCAAGGTCACATGTCATGGAGGTCAAGGCCGAATATGTTACTTTGAAATGACAAATGAATATTAATTCCAAATTCTATGGGTGTTTCATTTCACTTTGCATTTTAACCTATCATTCAAAATAACTAACTCTTAATCACAATAAGTTAATTTTCTGGTGAATGTGAGTAAAAAATGGATAAATAAAGAAATACAAAAAGAATATGAACAAATATAGGCCCCTATACACCATGTAGTAATCACATCTTACAACAAGTGTGTAAGGTAGTCAACACTGACACCGACAAACAAGCAAATTGAACGAATTTGTGCTCTGATAATTGCATGAGTAAAGCATAATTACTGAGTCCAAAAATGAAACAATCCTGTAACATGCAAACACGTAAAGTGAGTTTTGTAAAATGCCTTTCTCCATAATGATGTTTGCTAGCAGGTAAAAACCATATTTATAAGGTATTCTGATGGCGTATCAGCGACTCAAATAACAGAGGTCAGTGGAGTGAAGTAAACATATGTTTATCCTTATAAACAGAAGTGCCATCGACTAGCATTGTTAGTAAGACTGTTCTATAGTGTAAGAAAGGCTAAAGTCGTTTAGATATATTGATTAAGTCGATAAGGACTTTAGTGTCGTTTACAAACTAAACTACGCCCTATGGCCTCTTATGGCACCGTCCAGTGTGGCGTGGTCTGTGTTGTTATGTGACAGGCACACATAAAAGTGAGTCAGTTTTGTCTTCGGGGGACCAAGGTTCACACTCACTTTTTGGTACAAAATGCTGTCAATTCTTCTAAGTCATGAATATTGTTGTAGTTTTATTCCGTTTAAAGTGTCATTTTAATTAATCTATTCACTGAATATGTCGGAGACCCCGTACACAATCGATACAGATATTGACTTCGAGTATACTTTCTGTCACCACTTATGTCTGAATATAAAAATAATCCAATAATATTTTCACTTACCTGATGGATGAAGGCATGTGAAGATTCCAAACACAAGGAAGCTGATAGAACCGACCGGATTCTTTAACTTGGTCATTCTTTTATTGATATGATACGGTCAATGTTTCGTTGTCGTCTCAATTCCGACAGTGTCCAGTCGCTGCTAAAAACATGACTGGTCAAAGATTTAGCGTTTTACCACCAACGTATGACTTCTACAGGTATGCTAAATTATCATCCAATCACCTTTTAACTGAATTCTATCGATGATTGTCAAACTGGCGGCGAAGACCTAAGATTGCATCCAGGATACAGACGTCGAACTCTTCCAAAGACGACAATTTGTCCTTCCATTTGTGACTTCTCTACGTGTTGACAGGCGCACAAAGCTATCCGTCGATATTAACTCATCAATATGTATGTGAGGTTAGCATTACAAGCACTAAATCAATATAAACATGTACACACGTTGACGAATTAATACGTCGATTAGGCTCTATTAATTATGCACAGGTACGTTTTAAAGCGCCACGCTTATGTTTAATTCACTCAGTCTCACGTATTGATTTTAATAAGAACAATGCTCGAGCAAGCTCTACGCTTATTGGAGCCAATTTTGCTCCTCCACTGGCACAGGTCACTGGTTCCGATTAATGACGGGAGATCAATTTTCGGAGCGTTGAACAATAAATAAGGCATGCGCCAAACAGCCAAAGAGAAAAAATATTGCGTTCACTTGATGTTAGAATGCTACTGATGTTGTGTACTGGATTTGAATAAGGGAAAAAAATAGAGAGCATTTTTTTCTTTCAGCTCTTTATGGATAATAAGCGAATAAGGAATACTTTATACTTTATGCTATGCAGTAAGAAATTTTTCAAGATCTCGATATAACAATATTTATTGCCAAGTTTTATTTATTTTGATCTACATGTATATCCTTAACAGCATGATCAGCCAATCAGTGAAAATGTCGCGGTGAATATTTTATGTTTGTCTAAAAGAAAAGAAATATGTTATAAAGAAAGCTCATTTTCTAACATTCAGGTCATGCTCTATATGAAAAATATCTTCAGATGTTTATTTGTTTTCGTTATTTAGAAATTGAAAAATAAATTAATATTTTAATTAAAATTCATTTTTGCTGAAAGGGCCTATTCAAATATACTTTTGCCAAGTTAAATCACTCGCGCAGAATGAAGACATCAAAAACAAGTTCTTTACAGCAAGAGTCATTGACATACGGCCTCTGCATCCTGGCAACCTCTATTGGTGGTGGGGCGGAAACTCTTGTTTTCTTTATACAGCAGAACCAGGTAGATGACCAGCGTCCCTATCACCATACACATGACCAGCGCGGACGCAAACACACCGGCCAGCTCCCACTGCTCTCGTTTAGGACGCTCCTCTTGGAACTTTGATACCTTATTGGACTCGTCTGAAAAAATAAATAAATAAAGTTGTAGGCTGTCAAAAGTATTTTACAGATACCTTCTTTAACTCATGCCAATCCTGTAGAGTAAAATAGTTTATCATAGTCAGCTTAGCATACGCGGTGTACGTGATTCGATTGCAAGGCTCTACTGCAAACCGACTAACACACTACCGGTCTGAACAGCACTGTAGATGATGGTGGGAAGCTGCGAAGTTATGACTGTGATAACAGCAAAAAATGGCCCCCCCCCCCTCCCCCCAAGCTCCGTTCAAACACCCAGTTCTAAAATAATACACAGAATCTTGTTCTTACACGCCCGCTTCACTATCCTGGAGGTGCAGTTTTTGTCTTCTCCGACACACGTGCGCAGCGCCTGATACGCCCCGACACAGCCGGTACTCGCGGTTCCATTGGGATACTGGCACTTCCGTGACCTACTTTGCTGCCCGTTGCCGCAGTTGCTAGAACATTTTGACCAGGTTTCCCACACTGACCATGTTGCTGAAATGAGGCATGGCGATAAGTTTGTTTGGCCAATTCCAACGATAATATAACTTGTATTTCTACGCAGCAAAAATGAAGACAAACTATAACATTAGCGTTACCAAATAAAGGAAAGTTACGTCATTTTAAAGCTTTGGCAAGTCATTCAGACCCTTTTCTACTGGCATCATGACTTTTTACTGCCCGGGTTGTTCACAATGTTTGTGACACTGGGGAGAAAGGTAAATGCTATATGTCTTCTAGGGTTGTCGAACGTTGGTTAATGCACATTATAGTCACAATCATTATCCCAATCAAAATAATAATAAATAAATAAAAATAATAATAAAACACGTACCGACGTTACTTCGTGTCTTGTTTGCAGCAGACAAGTTTGATTTCAGCTTGCCAGCATCAGCAACCATGACCATGTTTCCGTTGTTGATGATCACAGGTTTGTTTTTATTGTTTTGTTTCACTATGTCTCCACGAGTAGTTGCTGGTTTTTGGTCTTTTGTGAAATTCCCTTCTTTATTCACTTCATTCTGAATGGTGACTTCGTTGCCCCGACCAAGAGAGAGCTTCAGTTCTTTGGTCGCGGCCTCTCGTTTATATGCGGCCTGCCGACGGTTCTGTCCCATCCCTGGCCCCTTTTTGCGCTTTGGCTTCTTCTTCTGTGACAATTGCCTGTTAAATTTCATATTTGGCCTGTTTTTCTGCTTTTGTTTTTTTCCTCGAAGCGAATTTCGGTTAAGATTCATCCCTGGCTTGCGTTTAGGCTTCAATGTTTTCCCTCGAAACCTGTTTCGGTGAAATTTCATCCCTGGCTTGCGTTTAGGCTTCAGTTTCTTTTCAAGTATCTGTTGTCGGTGAAGCTTCATTGCCCACGTCTTTTTAGCTTTTTTCTTTCTGTCCTGCGACGGTCGTAACTTGTGCTTTCTTTCCTTCTTGCGACGAGGTTTCCCTCTGTTCTTCTTTGTGCTCTTGTGCTGTTTTGTGTTCTTCTTTTCACTAATGGTGATTGTCTTTCCGTGCTTCTTAGTTTCCACTTTTACTTGTAAATAACTTGGATCGTCTGGACTGAATGGTGGAATGGAACCTGGTAGTTTTGTGTTATTTGAGGAAGACACCATTCCAGGCTTCGTTTCAGTCTTAGTGTCAGGCTTTTCTACGGCTACAGTCATCGCATTTTTCACGTTTTGCAACTGCGTCTTCGCTAAACCTCCTGGGAAGCGAGTTTGAGGGGTCACATTTTCAGGTCTTGATTTCAGTTCAATGATTTGTTGCTTGGATGAAGAGTTAGGTTTGCGCGTGGAGGGTGGAAATGTCACTGTAATGGTCGCTGAAGTGGCCGAAGTATAGCCGAAAATTAGCCCCTGCAGTTTCTCAAATATGTTTGCCTCATTTTCTTTCCCCACAGTGCCATTCGATGCGCTCGTCTTCAGTGTCTTCAAGCCTTGCTGCCCAGGACGTTTCGTTTTCAACAGCGGCAGTTCGGTAGACGCTACCTTAGTTGTCGGCGACACCTTCGTGCCATTCACATGCTTCGACTTTGAGAAAGAGGCTTTCTTATCACCGACAGGCGTCACATTAACATTTGGTCTGCATTTCAAATGGCCAGTCGTGGCATTCGACAGCGAACACGGAGGCGCTGTGATGAGAGTATCGTTAAAGCTAGGCTGTGGACCTCTAGGTGAGTGCTTTGTACTCTGGTTCATTGGTTTCCTCGGTGTCCCCACGGTTGTGCTGGATATCTTCACTGTTGTCGCAGATGTCGTCGCAGAAGTTGTTGTGGTCCACGCTCCTCGTCCGGAAGGTGGTTTGGAACTACCTGAGGTTCGTGCTATTTCCTTCAAAGCCTGCCCTACAACAATTGTAATTTTATCTTTTGGCATGACTTTAGCATATTTGGATGACTTGCTTCCTTGAAAAGCCGGAAAAGCCTTGAACTGCCCACTCTGCTTGTTTGTGCCATTGCTGCTTTTTCCAGAGCGCCCAGGCTCTATGGTGACATTTGTCTTAGTGTGGTTGTTTGGATGAAGATGAAGAATAATTTGTAGTGGACGTTCTTGGACGGGACCCTTAGCTTCAATGCCATTTTTCCGTTCAGAAGGCCCTGACTTCTGTTTGGCGGGAAATCCTCCATGTATATTTTTACCATTAGGCCTTTGCGTGCTAGAAAACAATACCGAAGGTGTGGTTGACCCAACCGATGCTGAATGTGACGAAAATGACGTCGGCACAGATGTTGACGTAACGGTTGTTTGTGACATAGTCGCTGTTGTCCGTTCAGTAGACGCAGAAGGCCCTGACTTCTGTTTGGTGCTAGGAAACAATAACGCACATGTGGTACACCCAACTGATGCTGAATGAGAGGCAGAAGAAGTCGGCACCGTCGTTGACGTGACAGTTGTTTGTGACGTAGATGAAGTCGGTGGCGTTGTTGACGTGACAGTTGTTTGTGACGTAGATGTAGTCGGCACCGTTGTTGTCGTAACAGTTGTTTGAGACGTAGTCGCGGTTGTCGGCGCCACTGTCGTAGTTGATGGTGTTGTTGTCACTGGTAACCTATGCCGTGACCACTTTCTGAAGGGACGACGATGTCGATAACGGTTACGCTGTCGGTAACGCTGTCGGTAACGCTGTCGGTAACGCTGTCGGGAACGGTGATGTTTATTGAAATTTCGCCGTCTTGCTGCCATGCGTGCCCTATAAGCATTCCATTTACCCCACTTTTTCCAGTAGTTGCTAGGCCTGCGATTTTGCACTTTTTTCTTCGAGGGCTTTAGTGTCTTTTGGGGAAATTTTGCACGGTTGCGAGGCTTCTTTCTCCTTGCCCCTGGAGGCCTACGGCTTCTGCCGAACCCGCGTCCACGACCGCGCATTGATTTAGAGCCCTTTCGGGACGCCTTTGGTTCCCTCTTTACGGCAAAATTTGTGCCTTTTTCTTTACGTGGCGTTGACTTAATAACGCGCCCCGATGACTCTGTTATATTTATCTGAAAATGCACATGGATGCCAGATCTAGATGTTGGTTTCGGTTCGGGGACAGGTGGCCGACTTGAGAAGACAATGGGCCTTAGATTTGTCGACGTAACTGTTGTAGTTGGCGGAGTTGTTGAAGTTCTCACTCTTGTGGTGGTTGGCCTTACTGTTGTTGTTGTTGTAGTCATTTTGGTTATAGAATGTGAAGTAGGCCTGGGTGGTCTTCTGATGGTCGTTAATGCTATGATGCATGGATTGTCGGCACACCGCTGTTTTTCTGATCTGGGACCTGACCGATTACAAGTGAAAAATCGTTGGTATGAATGGCGTTTTAACTTTACCTTACACTATTCTGCCGGTCCTTTATAAAGGATATTGACATCACCGTTAGAATTTGGTTTCCAATAAATAGCGATATCTTGTAAAATTACATAGAATATAATGTTAAGCTCTCTTGAANCGGCCTG